ACACGGACAAAGGACATGGCTAGTTGTTAGTGCCAGGGAAAGCAACTGGAAAAAGAAACATACAGTGATGAACTCCAACATGCAAGAATCTGCTCTTCCAGTCCTGTTAATACCCAAACACTGATTATTAAAGTGATTAATAGGCTGATTGTGAACTGGTTTCTCTAAAGGAAGAGAAGCAAAGCCACCTAAGAGATAGTGCAGGGAAGAAGGCAGGGAGATTAGAGGCAAGCAAAACTACAACCGTGCTCAAGGTTGTAACGTGATGCTGATTCATACCCCATAGTCATAATCATAAAGCAAGTATCTGTCCTCTTGATTTCTTCTTCTGTTAAGAAGCAGAAGTTAATTTTCTTTTTGTAAACATAATTTAATCTATACCAAGTTAACAGCTTTTATGAAAAACAGCTGTCATAAAAAAGCCAGCCTTTTTGCATGATGTATTTTTCTAGGGTCTTTGTGCAATCTTTTTTTGTCCTTGTGACATATCTATTATGTCGGGACTTCAAGTAGGAACACACTGATAGATACATGATCACAACAGCTGTATTCAGTCTCATACTTTTGAGTTCTAACATTGTAATTTTCACTTGTGATTCAAGGAGCACTTAAGTACATACATTGATTGCTGGATGGCACAAAAAGTTGTTTTTAAGCACACCGCAGGCTCTTAAATTTCAAACCAGCAACCTCTTGGCTGTTTATAAAGCAGTTTATAAGCACCACTATAGGAAAGCGAAGGATGGATAACTGAGGGCAGTTTACCTTCAGTCTTCACTTAACTTGGGATATAATTATTTCACTATCCGCATTCTTCCTTTGGGAAGGGTAACGTTTCGTTAGCAGAACTTTCATTGTACTGACAAAACTTTCCAAACTCAATCAGGCCCAAGCTCAGAACTGTTTGGTACTTACCACACATCCCCCATCTCCTTATTTTAACAACTGTCTCCCAATGTGTCCCAGGAGGCTGAGCGGCACACAGCCCTCTCCCTGCGCTCTGCAGTCACTTGGCTCATAGCATTGCTGCTGCCTCCCATCAAGAGGGAAGTCAGCCAGAGAAAACCAAGTCTTACATTTTACAAAGCTCTATCTGAATTTTTGCTGGTCACTAAGGATACAACTTTAGACAGCCTTCATACAGCAAAGTTTCCCAAACTGAGTTGAGAAGCTTTCAATAAAATCAGCCGATCACTTCATATTAATTTATTGTATTGCTACTTCCATTACTTCCGTTCCATGCTTTGATGCTACCCAAATTATCATGTCTCAACATTCACATTTTGTACATCACCAGTGTATACCAATGTACGTAGGGTGAACTGATATACTGATAAGCCTTCTTCTCACTTTAAACCAATTGCTAAGAAAATTGACAAAACAGATGAAAGTCTGATAAGCACAGCTTATCAGAAATATACATATATAAGCTATATTAACATATGCAGCTGGATAATACTAAAATAGCCTGGGAAACAGTGTGTATGTTATTCACTGAATGGCACAATGATTAATCTTTTTCCTTCCCTTCCATGGTCATTGTCCATGCCCTCTCATGCTCCTTGCTGTTTTGATAATACATCTTGGTGACGGAGGAAGAAAGAGGCATGTAGCTAAGGGGAGGTAGCTAGAGGACGGGGTGATGCAGGGAGAGCTGCATCTGGAGCTGAAGGGGACAGCACAGAGCAAGGCCAAACAGCTTATGGCCACCAAGAACTGCCAAACCTGTCCTGATGCCTCTCAGGTGGGACACCAGAAAGAGGTCAGCACCGTCCAGCCAAAAGAACAGGATAGGAAGTATGGCAGAAGACCATGGCTTCTGGGAGGGCTTGAGCACAGCTATGCCAGGACAGGATGCGCTAAGCAGCACCTGACAAAGTAAGGTGTGCTTTACTCCAGGCCTGTGCAAAGCCTTCTCAGCAACTGCCTTGCACTCGTCTTGCCTGCCCTGTCCCAAAGGCTCCCTTATGGGGAGATTTCCAGGTTCATCAAGGAGCTGTCATGGAAATCTCTTCCAGAGGAAAAAAAAAAGTCATACATCAGGGTCTGGCAACCCAGGCACCCTCCCGGATCAGTCAGTGCACTGCAGCATCAGTCTGGTTGTCACAGCGCTCATGTCATGGTCTTACAGAAGACTGTTTGAATAAAAGGTCTTTACACATTACCCACAGCTAATGACTCCCCTCATATCAGAGACCGTGTTTTCTTTGCCATCTGCAGCTATTTTCTGTTCTAGCCTAGAAAGTTTAAAGGAGGCAAGATAAGACCTGGGCAGGATATTTGAAATGCTGTAAATGTGGTTTAGTGACATACCTAGGTATGACGTAACAATCATAACCTGAATTGTAAATATATTAACCTAGCTGGAAATGTACACAAACGCTTTTTACTTAAGGCATTATCACTGGGAGGGAACCCTTCGTGACTTTAATGATTTTATTCCTGATCATTATTATCTTTCTTAATTTTCCCTTATCTGTTCAAACCACAGGTTTAAAATACTGCTGTAATTGAGCTCAGTGGGAAAACTGAAATTTTTCATTATATTAGATACGTAGCTTGATAAAATTAACAGCAAATGGACTGCACAAGCAGTTTTGCAGTGCCATGGAGACCATCCTTCTGGTTAGCTAAGAGCCTGGGGAAAGTAAGTCTTGGAAATTCATCTTATTTGACATGCTACAATAATTTGATATTAAAAGCACTGGCCATAAGCTCATTATTTTATGCAATTACTGCCCATTATTCTCAGACAATGATTCGGTAGTGCCCTGCGATAAATCCCAAGACTCAAGAGCAACCCTATTTAAGATTCATTTTATTTCAATTATTAAGTAAAGCAATCTACTTGAGCCAATTTTTTTTAAAGGATCCCTAAATTCAATTAATAGCTCCTGTAAAGGCTCACTCATTTACAATGGACCTCTAGTCATAGAGCCATGGAAAAAATTCAATCTGAAATACAGTTACTTCAGCTTGAAATATAGTTCTTAGAAAATACACTGTCACAGTAGAAATCTTGAGCAAGTTTTACGTCACACCTATTTCGCTATAGGCACTTCACTAGACACGTATCTTCATCTTGAAGTATGTCACACATTACCTTTTCACCTCCCACAAGAAAGGTCTGGTTTATATAATAACCTATGATGAAATTACTACAAGTGTCTGGATGCTGAAAGAATTTTTCCTTAACCTGTTAATACATCCAAGAAAACCCAAGGCTCATATACCACTGACATGGCAAGACCAAAAGCAGTTGTGTGATTTGACTGACATTTCCCATAACACAGTAAAGAAGATATCTAGATGTTCACATCTAATCTCCCTTCCCACAAAGGCACAGGGTTGCATTGCTGCTTAACTTCTGTTTTGTCAAACAGAAAATCAGGAACCGGAGTGATGATGTACTAAAACCAGAAAAGGGGTCACAATATACATTCAGTATTAGCACACAAGACTCTAAAGCCATATCACATATAAATTGCTTTGTGACAGTGCTCTCCTCTCCACAAATGTCATCAAAAGGGATAAGCCTCAAGCTATACACGTAACATCACTATATAGCCACAGTACATTTCATAAGTGTCATTGCCATGTCTGCAGTGTGACCTGAGTAATTATTTTAGGTGAACTGGGTAACTGTAGCACAATAAGGGTCAGGAGAAGTCAGATTCAAGGCATACATCCAGCTCCACAGAGTATCCATGGAAGGTTAACTCCAAACCAGAAAATTCAAGCCCTGTGACAGCCTGACTGCAAAAGCAGCATTTTCTATCAACATTTAGTTCCAACTTTCCCATTTCCCATGGGTTAACTCTGAAAGTCAATAGATGATTTGAGTCTTCTATGCATCCTTTATATAAAGTGACATTGAGAGATAGCTGTTTGGATATTGGTAATTTGGCTGTTTCAGATGATTAGACCACAGTGCCATAAGAGGAACGGAATAATGTTAGGAAAACACTGGTGATGATTGTTCTATCTGAAGGCTGCTAAGCATGATCAAATGCTAACAAATAATCAATACTGGTATCAAAAGATACCAATATCTTAAATTATCACACCAGGAGATGGTTTTCAGAAGAAACAGCCGAACTCGTGAGTTCAGAAGAGCTCATTTGTCAATAGGTCAGGGAACTCTTCTCTGAAATCTTGCTGAAGTAGGTGACCACTTCCTTGTGAAGCACTACAGTTGAGACCAACTGCAGTTGCTGCCTTGCAGATAAACTATTTTCTTTCACATGCTCTTAGTTTTATAAATGTCAGCATATCAGGCATGGGAATAACTTCAGACTGATAACTAGCATCTAACTAGCATGGACTACATCCCAGCTGCTACTTTTAGAATTAATTTTAAGACTTTTTGATACTAAGGTGACAGTACTATACTTGAAGTCATCGAAAGCAAGCAAAATTATCTTCTCTTATCTGTATGTACGCTTCTGCACTGTCTCTGCTTGCTTTCAGCAAAAAGCCATGAAGTATGGGATTGCTTCTCAAGAGATCTCTTGAAATAATGAAGTACTTTTATAACACACTGTATGACACATTTATTATGAAAACTTCTTTTGCAGCTCTTTCTTTAGGGTGAATTGGCACAATCAAAGTTTTATGAATATGAAAAAAATGCTCTTGAGAGAAAGGCCCAATCTGTGTTCTGCTCTGAACCCTAGTACTGATCCCGTTTGGTTTGTAGATAGTGTCAAAGTCACACAGGACTTACTGTGAAGAGCTTAAGGTTCAAACATCAGAGGTAAAACAATCCCAGTAACTTGAGTGGGAAAGAAAACTGTTTCCTGAAGGATAATCATACTTCAGAAAACATATAGGGCAGTTTTGAACCTTCAAAGTGTTGTGACACAAGCTGCTTTTCTAAAGCAGATTCTGTCAGTTTGGGTGAGTGACAAAATCAGTTGTGCATTTTAGGTGACAATTCAGACCTAGATGCAGATTCACTGCATCTCTTTTCAGTGTGTTTTGCTCTAGGAAAGACTTACAGTTCCAAGGTCAACAATGAAGCAATCTCCTCTGTTGAAGCTGGTCCAAGCCAGGGGGACTTCTGTAGCTCTTACCACTCTCCGGCCCTTGATATGCAGAAGCCTCTTAGCACTCAGATCATTAGTAACAACATGATTAAATCCAGAGGCAACACCACCTGCCTGAATAAAACAAAACAAGGCAGCAAGCTTTATTTCAGTTTGATGTCTGCAAATTTACCATTTTGCTGCAGCTGAAGAGCTAGCAAGGGGAAAAAAATAGTTCATGCAGTGAGAGACAAGCCAAAATAATATATGGTTTAACAGGGCTGACCACAGACCAGACAGACTTGGTGAACACTGCTGCTGCTGAATTCTCAGGTGTGAGCCTTTATCTGAGGGAGCAGATGTCACCCTGTTTCAAAGTGTTTTCAGATGAATGGGGAAAGGACAGGATTTACCACACTTTCCTGCATTATCTAGAGGATAAGGTAATGCTGAACCAGACTGTTAGGACAAAAGCGGGTGCGTTATCAAATAAGGACTGAGCAAAAGCAGAGGAACATGCAGCTCCTGTACAAGTTTTCACAACTTCCTTAAATTCAGAGGTCTGGGTGTTTTTAGTGCTTGCTTATGTGTGGAGGGAGGAGTCATTCCACAGCAGCTCTGTAATTTTCTAAGGGGAATATTTACAACTTAGGATGTAACCTAGCAAAGAGCACAAAACTTGGGGAAGCAAGACCAAACTATTGATTTACAATCTATGAAGTGTAAATTTAAGCCTAACTTATTCCTGTAAACAGGTTTGGCTGTCTGCCTCTGAGGCAGCATTCTCCATGTCTCTGGGAGACCCAGACCTTAAATTGGAATAGAAAGTGTCTCTTGAAATTACAAAGGGGGAGTAAAAAGTAAAAGTGTAGGCAGGTCACTGTCAAGCTTTCTTATGCAAGCAGAGTTAAAAGTTTCAAATCAGTTGTGTAGACTGTGACAAGTCACAAACCTCCATAATGGTAAAAGGCTGACTGAGCAATGCCACCCACAGCTCCTGCTACAAGGAGAGCGTCAGGAGATACGTTACTTTATTCTTAAAAAACACAGATATCTCAAAATTTCCTCCCAAAGATTCTGCTTCTGGAAGTGAAACAACAAGCAGGCTGACACTACAGCTTTTTAAAATATAAAATTTTCATTAAAAGTATTTGGGAGGTTTTTCTACTTACCTCAAAGAAAAAAAACTGTGGTAGGACTGCAAAAGCACTATTTTTAGACTAACGTGAGGTTTTGGTCTTTTCAACTCTGTTCACGCTTTTAACCATTTAAGCATATTGGTTTCTGCATTTGAACAAAATGGTCCAGTCTACAACACAGAAATGATTTCTGTGAAATTTACTGCCTCCCAAACACAGAGTCCCTACTGTGAGTGCACACAAGTATGAAATCTCAGGATAGCTTGATTTGGGGAGGGGATGGTGGAATAGATCACTGAGACAGATTTTCAGTTATTGGAAGATAACTAGGACTCTTATAGTTTAGGATAGGTAGTTGAGATCGAAACCCACTAAGCATTAAGAAACAATTTTTAAACTTTCAGTAACAGATACAAAGCAAAAGACTTGATTTTACTTGTGGGACAATGGTACATATATTTTTAGAATATATTTTGATGGCTAGCTCTTTACCTTGTATTTAATTCCTCCTTTGAAGTAGCCCACAAACTCAGTAGACTCATATCCTTGAATTTCTCTACTCTGCACAGGTTTTCCTCCTAAATAGTCATCCAATTGAACAGTGAAGATAGCTGCAGCTGTGCTTTCATCTTGTGTACATTCTTTCCCTGAAATAAGATGAAATATTATATCTATAAAGCACCAATATAACTTTGAATTCTGTTGGAGAAATTGTTTCTGTGATAATCAGACACTGCCTTCAGCAGGTTGTACAGCCCATGTATACGTTGCAACAAAGCACTACATCATTACCTTGTTCATCACCAAATACATGACCATCCAGACCATTTCTTAGCTAATTGTAGAACTGCCTTCATAAGCAAAAAAGTGAAAAATAGCCAAGTTTGTCTTCTCTCAATTAAAATACTCTCTTGTTCAAAGAGATTAAGTTTAGCATGGCAAGTGTCTGCAGGAATGATTTTTGGACATTGAGTTGAAGTGCAAGGACCAAGGAATGTCATGTCAAAGGTAAGCCATATATTTATGCTAAAATCAACTCGCCAAGCCGTAAAATAATAATTCAAAAGCAGTCCTCTTGATACTATAATGCAAGCAAAGGGTATTTTGCTTAGATATCTTTTATTAGATTGCCTGGTACAGCTGGGAAAAAGAAAAGCAGCTTTGGGGCTTAGATATTTGCTTCATGAGGTTGCACTTTGTTTTGCACTTTTCAGAGATTAGCTTCTTCTCAGGACCATGGCAAAACTAATCACACTGCAAAGCAAGCTGTATATTAAAACAAAACTTTTAGCATGGGCCCATTCATGTTTGATGAAACAATCAAAACTATTGAAAATGTTCAAGAGCAGTGCAAATAGGATTGAGTCTCAAAAATATTGGCTTCTCAAACTTCTGAAGAGCAAGGAAAGGTGAGGTTTGCCATTTAGTTTTAATTTATTCTTTCTAAATAAGAGGATGAAGCTGGTACACAAGCAACAGTTCTCAAGAGCAGCTTCTCATCTGCATTAACCATTTCTTTGCTCATAGGTAACTAAGTGGAAAAATAGTGCAGAGCTCCAGGCAGCCCAGACATTGATACCTCTCAGGCTGGGACAAGGGGAACTGTGTAGTGAGGTGCTGGTGTCACCTCACGGTGTAGTGAGTCATTGTCACAAGAAGCCTGTTGGTAAGGTATTAGGAAAGCATAAAGCATGGGAAGGGGGGGACAGGGATTACTAAGTGGATCACTGACCTAGCTCCTCTCTCAGGGAGAATGACTGCCCTATTCATGGTCCAGCCATGCAAACACCCCACCAACAACTCTGCTTCTCTGAGCAGTGCCTCCACTGCCACCACCACAGCTTCTGTGGGGACACAGGTGCAATGGAAGCCTTCAGAAAGCAGCAAGGAGGAAACAGGGAAGGGATCCCCAAAGAATAAGAGAGACATGGGGAAGAGAAAAGCATGAGGCCTGCCCAAAAGCGGTTAAAAAAAATTACTGCAAGCAAGAGATAACACAAGAACCTCTGGGAAAAAAACCCAAACAGCCCATCACTCAAGAGAGATAGCATACTGTCACATAGCAAGTTCTTCTTTCTCAGATCTGGGTACCTCCTTAAAGTTGGTGGTTATGGGGTTTTTTTTGGGGAGGGGGGGTGTTGTTTGTTTATTGTGGGGTTTTGGGTTTGGTTTTTTTTTTTTAATAGCGTTATTCATGTCCATTAGGACTAGATCCTTCAGATTTATTGCTTGTAATTATACAACAGGGCTCAAGGTTGAAGAAAACTGGATTTGGAACAGTGTTAGAGATAAGAACCGCAACCAGGCTTGGTCTCACAGCTGCTCTGCAATAAAATAGTCATTGAAAGCGTGATTTAAAAAAAAAAGTGAGCATCAATCCGAGTGTAGGTTGTTCAAGCTGTATGGAAAATGGATTTACCTTACAGTTTGAGGCACAAACAACTGTAAGCCAATGTATATAGGAAAAAGCACAAAATTTTTACCAGACTGGATACGTTCACATGGATAGGTCTTATCACTTAATCTCTGGGGACAAGAATTAAAAAATAGTTAAAAACACCATGCATGATTTTACTAAAGATACTAAGTGGGCTATAGCCAGTCTTACTCCCACACATAGCCTCATACCAGCACAGCACACGCCGCTTCCTCTAGTGACAGTCTGAAGTCAAGACAGCTCCCTTAGGATTACTTTAGCTGCTAGGGCATCCCTCAAGTGCCAGTGCAGACATCCAAGCCAGGGTCTCTGAGTAAAATTAGAAATGGATACAGCTACCATGACACAGATCCACACTGATTAGTTGGCCATGCCAACACCATGGCAGCACCCAAGTTAAGCTTGTTCAGAAATTATCTGACCTGGACAGCACTTCACCGTATGCGAGGTATTTGGTAAAACATTGGCTTTCACATAGGAAGCTTCAGGCCAATGGAACGACTGTGATAGTGGGAACAAGGGCAGGCCCAGAAACCCAGAGTAACCAGCAGTGATTCGCTTAGATGTTCAGAAAAGTACAGGCATGGTTTTAGGGTATGCAGGTGTAAGTTTTACTAAGCAAAAAGCTGTGAAGAGGAGTCTTAGATAAGTTACATAATGTTTTAAATTTTCTTTCCTCAAAAGAAACCCTTTCATTGCAACATTGGTCACCCATGTCTGAACTCTTTTACTAAAACAGATGGTGTACTTTAATGATTTCAGTAAAAAGTTTAAGTACGAGGTGACAAAAATTAGATTAAACAAGGATTTGTGATTCCCTAGGACTCTGATCTCAGGTAGCAGTCAGACATATTTGGTGAAAAGATTCTGTAATTTTTGTTTTCTAATTAATTATTATTAGTTAATTCCAAATTCTCAAAAATACCTTTTTTCTTTTGCAAATGCACACCTAGTACTGGTAGGGACAAAGTATTATGCAAGCTGTTGTTTTGGAGCTGAAGGACAGAAAAACTGTGAAGTAATCATCCCTCAGAGATGACTGTACATTTCACCAGGAGCAAAAGAAATCAGGTGCCTCCCTGCCCTCCATGGTCTTTAAAAAAGGCTCTGGCACTGTACATATTCAAGAGAAAATACTTCTGTATAGATTTCATATATAATTGTAAATAGGTGTGGAAAGCTGTACATTTATCAAGTTCTTTAGCAACAACTTTGTTTTTATTAACAAAGGGAGATGAAGTATAGCAACTTCAGAGAGACAGATCATCAATACTTTTACATACTGAACTATTTTAAGAGAGAGAACACATTTAAGATAAAGTTTGTATTGCGCTGAGTTGGAAAAAATAAACCCCACGCTAATCGTAGGATACAGTGCTAGTAAAGACTAACTTGCAAAGTAAAAGGGTAAAGATTCAGTATCCAAATTGCAGTAAATTGTAACCAAACATTCTGCATATTAGTGACAACTGTACATTTTAAATTTCTGAAGAAATACTTTGGAAACATGTTCACTTCTGTTTAAGCAGAAGTCAAAGGGGGAGGAAGGAGACAGTTCAGCTGTTTGCATGGGACACTCCTGTGCCACTTGCCCTGCTAGCTAAAGAGCAGGCCCTGGGCTGTTAAAAATATACACAGAGATAAAAGGTGGAGCAAAATGAGGGAGAAGAGCTATTCTGAGAGTGAGGTGTGTACCTTGGGAGATATAACCCCCCCACACCTCCTGGCTGCTAACATCCTACCCAGGTGTGAGACTTTGTACAGTTTGGTCCCTTTAACCCTAGGATGCCAGTCACAGCACAAGACTGCATGTCACAAACCATCCTCCGCTGGTCTAGACCTCCTTCTAACCCTATGGGTATGCCTGAGCAAGTAATTAGGAGGAAGTTTACCATTACATAATACAAAAATTCAATGCTCTGCTTTTATTCTAAATTTGAGGTCTCTTTTGGTGAAGTCAGAATTTGTTCAGGCTCAAAGCCACCACGAGACGCGCACAATAACACATGCCACATGACAGTCAGGAGTAGTGACAGTGTCACCAAATGGCAAGTCCTTTGTAAGTATCTAAGCCCAAAGTTTGTAGGGTTTCTTTCCATCTAATTTCAAAGAGTTCTTTCCATCCCAAAGCCTGACTGTTAATGACTGCTGTTACTGTTCAGAGACAGCTTATGGGAAATCTTCAGAAAGAGGCTACTGAGGTCTTCCTGGCCCACAGGCCATAAAACCTTTGCTCATAAGAGGTAAGTTTGGTGTATGTAACAGTGGTAAGAATCAGTCAGCAAAAATACCCAAGTTATTCCCACTCCTACTCTGAATGTGACTGTTCTTCCCCGTATACCTTGCATGAAGTTCTGGTCTCCTGTTGCTATTAAGCTTGCAGCAGTGTTTGAGCACCTCCACCCTGCTACTGGAATATCTTGCAAGCAGGAAGGGATTTCCCAGCAGATAGGCACTCTGCTGCCAACCTGCCAGCTGCATAAGAATGATGTGTGCCCAGATTATCTGAAGCTATTTACAATATCTGGGTATCACCACATCAGCACAAGATGTGCACATACAACTAAAGGTCTTTAGCCAACAGCAAAGAGGTTTTAACTAGTGCGAGCATCAGTCACTGTTTTGACTTCCAGTTGCAAAGAGTCTTTGCATCTTTCCCTGGGAAATGTCTACTATATCTTAACTATTACATAAATAGTTCTAACTTCATTAACAAAGGTCTAAATAGCCAAACCCTGCTATTAACTAGCAATGCTGTTGACATAAGAACATCTGCCAGAAATTCATTTACACTGCCATCTATGATTATACTCTTGTCAGAGACAGACACTATCCCACATGCCAGCTGGATAACGCATAACACATGCAAAACTAAACAAGTTTCAAACATTTATGCAAAAACAATCCCAGCTTTATCTGCTATTCTTTTTCAATGCATCCAAAAGTACAATGAGAACCACGGCAACTCAAACACATTAATGTTAACAGGCATTGACCTGTCTTTATGTACATTCACTGAGATAATTGCTTACAAATACAAACCTTGTGATGGTAAAACAAGAACAAAATAATAGATCACAACCGCTGTGGCTGGATGACTTGGTGACCAGACAAGGAAATCTGAAGAAAACTCTAAAAGACGACGAAATTACCTAAAAACCATTCTTATGTCAGCCTTCTATTTTGCTGTAAACACTATGCTAATCAAAG